CGCCCCCCCCCCCCCAACAGACATTCTACTGAGTAGTAACTTTGCAAATATGTCAACTTATTCTACTAATCCTAACCTAACAGTCTACTAATACTTTATTAATACTCTAATGAGAGTTAGTTAACATGTAGTTGAAAAACAAAATGTAAGTAACATGCGTTAGAGGTCAGATCTGTGATAGTTTGACTTAGCCCTGTCACTGTAAGCCTAAGGCTTTCTGGTTGGGAAAAATGCTCACTAACATTTGGGACAGTATAATCTGTTCACTTTTTAATGTAGCTAATCACATCAGTGTATGCTGATTTCATCTCCTGATGTATTCTGAAATGTCTGCCAGTCTATAAAAATGTAATAATATTTGAAAAGGACATCCTTACTCCATTTGTAGACTGCACTAACTACAGTAGTTTTTACAGTGGTATAATATAGTCTACTGTAAAAATTACTTCATTGAATTCCAGAGCTTGGAGAAAGGAATTGTTAACAGTTCAAAAGAGAATGCTCCCCAGTGAGTGTTTACAGTAAAATACCCCCATTGGCATAAATGCAGGCTATGCTGAATATGCGCTGTAGCACATATGAACCCATGGCCACATAAATGAACACATCAAAAGGTTATCCTTCTTTTTCGTAATCATATTATACAATCTCTATGTGCACGTCAGCACTACCACTACAACTACAACAACAGCAATAACAGTCTAGAATGCCCCTTGGCATGTATAACAGCTGGAGAGACTGGTTTCTTTCCTGTGCATGCACAATGGTGCATTTAAGCCAGAGAATACACAGAGGTGGGCTGACAAGAATAACACCCTGGAACTGACCATGTAGGCCTAAGAGAGCAGGCTAACTGAGAGCTGTTTTCTTTCATAAACTGGAAATTCATTAAAAAACATTGAAGTTGAATGCATCTACCTCAAGACAACAGAGCCAAAAGCTGCTAGCATTTGCTATTTTCAAATAAATAAATGAATATATATAATACATCTATATAATAGATGTACTGTCATCTATTTAATATTAATAGCATCACAGTTTTTTATGTAGTTCAGTTATGATGTAGTGTTAGTTACAATATTTATTAACTATTGCAATTGCATTTATTGAACCAAAAACTTTGACTTTCTCGTCTCGAGTGTAGACCTGTTAACGCTTTCCAGTGAATTTTCATGTTTATGATAACGCTTTCTAGTGAATTTAGATTTTTCACACTACCAGCATGAGAAAGCGACAGTTGAACATGCAGTAACACGAACAACAGCCAGCCTTAGGAAACATTTGCATTGAACTTCACCTTGTTTTGAGGAAGTAATAAGGCTGCAAACGGATTGGTGACCTGGTTGGAGAAGAACGGAATCTATCTGCTGGCTGAGCTTCGACATTCGATTGTAAGAACAGCTGCATTTAGTTTAAAGTAATAGACGGTGGAATAAAAGTTACAGGATATTTTTTCCCACAGACATTTTGCACATGTAATGGAGGTTGCAGGGGTTGTGTGGTTTGGAGTTATTACTTTCCTTTGTCAGGTAAGATACGATCGTGTCATAGGCTTCTAATAAACTAATTTTCTCTTTGTTTTTCCAGCAAGAATTTGTTGTTGTTAATGATATTATAATTTTATGACAATAAAGACATAAAATGTTACAAATGTGCAGCAATTATATGGAGGGAATGTTCTTTTACGCAGGTGTTTTCGTGCGCATTTGCAGACGATCCCTCTTCAAAAGCGGACAAAAGAGCAGGTAGACAGTTTCCAAAATTGTAAATCATTTGATATAAAATGAGGCACTCCGGAGAATGCATTAAGACATTTTTAATATTCCAAATTAGCTTTAGGACTAATTAGCTTTGAAATTATGTATGACAAATTATATAATGGAATTTGAAAAGGTTGTTTGAAAGTATTATCACAACGCAAATGTGTGAACCGTTCTTTTTAACGTTAAGTTGAACGGTACTTAAAACATACTCTCAAAACAATGAAATGTGATTATTAATTAATTTAAAACATTTTTGTAAGTGACCTTGTGGTTTATATTCTTGAAATTTTGTTACAGGCTTTTGTACTGTAATATAAACATGGTACACTGATAAAAATGATTTTGTGGTGAAGTAAATACTACGGAAAAACAAATGTAATTTCTACATTAAATAAATTAGTTTAGGCAAGAATTTAAAAAAGAGAGTAAATTCTATATTAGTAGCTACTCAATTTAAGCATGTAGAAATTAAAGTTTGAACTTATAAGTATATTTTTCTTGGTTTACACGGATTCTTTAAGTAAATATCATAGTTATGATCCTGTTGTTCCCATCATGCACTGGGGCATGAATAATTAATAAGGTTACATTTTTCACTGTTTTCTAGTTCTATTTACACTGTTTTATGGTTGCTTTTGTTGTTAGGTTTAGTAACTTGCTGTTTTGTGACATCCGGAATTCATTTTCTACGCAAAATGACCCATTCATACTCAAACGCTATATCCACTGATTGTTACCGTAATTTTGTATTGTGTTGAGGTCTCTGTGTTCATTTGATTAATTACTATACTGTGTAAAGATACTACCTTAAAAAGCATAGCAAGCCGTATACTTGTTTACTTATGTATGTGAGTGAATCACATGCTTTAATAGTCTGTTGTTGTTGTTGTTTTCATTGCTACATTGTGTAAGGAAAGTTTACCAACCATGCTGAATGAAATGTACTTGAGTATTGCAGAGTAAACTTAAAATAATTAAGTAGAAATTATGCATGAAACTCTAACTGGCCACGTTTAATTTAAGTATTTCCTTTGCTAATTTTACATAACTTAGTTAAGTAGATTCTAATTAATTCCATACTTAAATTTTACTTAAAAATAGGTGTGCAAAAACTTGCAAAAAAAAAAATGATTACATTTTACTTATTTTTTTCAGTGTAACTGCAGTGAATTCTAACAGATAGAAACATGTCATTCTTGTTAAAGAAATGTTACAAAAATATTTTTTTTATAAGGCAACCTGTTGTTAGTGAAAAGCTTATAAATCATACATAATGAGTTTTTTTTTTTTTTGAGATTGTAAAAATGCAGATAGTTTTCTGTGAGGGGTAGGTTTGGGTGTAGGGTTGGTGTAGGGCGATAGAAAATACAGTTTGTATAAAAACCGTTACGCCTATGGAGAGTCCCCAGAAGGATAGTGAACCAGACGTGTGTGTGTGTGTGTGTGCACGTTTTTGTGACAAATGAGGACATACATTTGTATAATGACAAAGGTATGACAGTATAAAAACCATTACGCCTATGGAGAGTCCTCATAAACCATAAAAACCAACATGTGTGTGTGTGTGTGTGTGTGTGTGAGTGAAATTATAGTCACCTGAATTGAAAAAAACAAACTCTCACTGAGGGGGTCAGCTAGAATATGTTAAGCTTACATGTGAAAGGATTAATAATATATAATAGAATACTTAGTAAAAAGATGCCATTAAACACATTTAAAATATATACATAACATCTTTATGTTGTTTAACCACATTAATTTGGAGATTCAATGTTATATATGTTAAATATTAAAGCATGTCTCAAATTCAGTCTTTCATCATTTCACACAACAACTTCATGAACATTTCACAGGTGTTTAGGAGTGTGCCTTGACCCCATTGAACCTTATTATTTGTTTTATCTTATGTGTGATTTTTGTAACCATCACACTGCCATGTAACCTATTGCAACTGTGCATTCCCTCATTTCATAAACCTCATTTTATAAATGTGCATATGTGGGTGATGCACCACTTCCTGTGCGGGTACGACACAGTGATATATAAGAGCCATCAGTTAAAACGTCTCAGGTTACGTATATAACCATGGTTCCCTGAGTAGGGAACGAGACACTGTGTCCTCTAGGGTTCGCTATGGGGAACGCCTCGTCGTGACCCATAGACGGCTGTCAGTGACGTTATTCCCTACGGCCAAAGGCCTAGGCTACATACCCCAAAATACTTACCTGTTAGGGCCAGTCTCCTGGGCCCGGGGTAGAGCTCAAGGCTTGGAATCAGGATAGATTCCGTTAAGGGAATACAACCAAGAGCCTTGAATCATACTAAGTCTTGGCCTGTCACACAGGGGCTACCGCACGCTCTGTATATGCTGAAGGAACTGTCTCAACAGACCCCTAGTAGCAACACCCTGTTAAAGTAGGTATCCAGAGGATACATA